ATTTTTATATAAAAACACAAAAAAGTGATTCAACTCATTTACCTCTAAGATTGCTATGCACCCTTTGAGGTATCTCTGGCTGCCCTTTTTAAAGGTGATTATTGATTCAATCAATCTCGAATGGATATATTCAGCCCAATTGAATTCACCCTTCAAGCCTTCATCGCAAATGAGCTTCATATATTCCTTGTTCGTTGACGTATCACCCGTTGGACAAAGAAATATCCCGACAAGGTACAATAGAACTCGGGCCTTCAGCTCATCCCCCCAGTAAGATCCACTTTTGATATCCTCTTCAACTTCAGCATATGTCACCTTATGATTCAAACCATATTTGGAGGCAAGTACTTTCCAGTTCTTACTCCTACAGACTTCTATAACACTTTTGCCTTTGTTTTGTACCCCCAATACGGCTGCAGCAGTCGATACCCCCAGAGGAATGAATAATCACCATACTTAGCCATACATTGACTGACGTCAAATTGTGCCATCAAGGATCGACAATTCCCTCCGAATAGGTCGATCCCTTACTCCGATCAACGATCCAAAACCTATTTCTCCCAGCACATTCAACTGATCCTTCTCCTTAAGGTGTTTAATTAATAAATTCACCCTTTTAATGCTGCATCTTGTCGACACTTCCTACATTTTTTAACAATATATAATGTTATAGTTCTTATATATTTGTATCAACGTATTTACAAGTTTAATGAATACCTTATTTTCTAGTGCTTTCCTCCGTTCTTTGTACTCTTTACTATCATTCCTTGACTGTGTGATGTAAGGTTCCTTTTCAGCATCACTCATTGAATTCCACTTGGACCTCACATCTTTTTTCACCTAATATTAAACATAAACGTTTCTTAATCAATACATTAACACTAAATACTAATACTACTCAATGTCAATTTCATTTTACATACCGAACCGCTCTGTGTGCCATCTCCCTTCATCCTTTGCATTCGGCCATACTGTTAACATTTAAAATTGTAATCAATTTAAAGTTTATCGATACTTTAATCCAATTACCATTTCAACAATAATAACAAAAGGACATTGATACTTACTAGAAGTACATATATCCACCCTTTGGTTGCTTTCGAGTCTCGGCCTTAATTTCAAAGTCATCTGCTCCACCAACAATTTTCCAACCCATTGACTCCATTTTTCCTTCATATATCAGTTTACGCAAATCAAATTATTTCGTTACATACACTTTATTCAATATACAAATATAGATAACTACTCTTGTGGTAAAACGATTTTCTTCAAAAGAATTTGAATGGCTACACCAAAATGTGTCGGCACATTTATACAACCTATAATATCATTTTCTACCTATATTTAATAAAAGTATCGACATTTATATTTTTCCTTGAATATCTATTTCTACCTGCAATCGGTCCCAAATGCTTCCTTACTCCAAAAACCCCAATCAACACATAAAAAACCCTATCGCGATTACTGTAATAATAAAAAATTAGGGTTTCGACAACATACTTTTCGATTCGACTGCAGCAACAAACAAACAAACTTCGCTTTAGAAACGCCTTCTGAAATGCAGCAACAATTACTCTTCGATTTCAAAAACTCGTCCGTTCTATCTTTTTTCAGAGGATATATAGCTATGGCCTTTATATTTCATCGGATATGTTATTTATATTTAATCGATACAAAATAAAAGTGTCGATACTTTTATGTCAGGTGTCGATACTTTCGAAAGGATAATTACCTATTTCTTTGAAAGTGTCGATAATTTATTACACGTACTTACGAAAGTATCGACACTTTCAATATATCCGGTATCATTTTACCGGTTTTATCATTTTGATACCGGTTTTATCATATTTTTACCTGTTATATCGTTGTGGATCGATATATTTTTTAAAGTATCGACACATTATAGGCGCTATAACTGCTTCTCTTTTAAATTCACAAAGTGTCGATCCTTATATAACGTATCGACACTTTTAAATTTACCGGTTTTATCATTTTGTTACCGGTTTTATCATATTTTTACCTGGTATATCGTTTTGGATCGATATATTTTTTAAAAGTATCGACACTTTTTAGGATTTAAAACTGCTTTTAAAGTTATGTAATTTATGTTTCAATTTATTTAATAGTGTTTCATGTTTTCCACCTACAATATTAATTTAATAATTTAATTTACACAAAATTTTATTTGATTGTTTTGATATTTTATAAAATTATTTAGATTTTAAATTTAAAAATATTAACTAAAGATAATAATAAATATATTTTCACAGTGAAATAAGTATGGACACTTTTATAAAAAGGATAGATAATTTACAATATAACAGGTAAAAATATGACAAAATCAGATTCATTATGACAAAACCGGTAAAATTTACTTGATATGTTAAAAGTATGGACACTTTTATAAAAAGGATAGATACTTACCGATAACCAAAGTTTACCGGTTACCAAATTTTTTAATAGTTTTTCATATTTTCTACCTAAAACATTATTAGTTGTCAACATAATAGGTACCGCTAAACCGAATTTATTAAATACATTTTAATGTATCCGGTAATGCTGTATATTAGCCGTATATTAACCCGCCTTTCCTGAGACATTCCCCGTGTGGAGACGAAGTACATATACTAAAAATCTAACTGGTAGAGTCACCCGCTGTGATGTGGATGCACGATTTTCATTGGTTGGTGAGGTAGGGTTTGCTGTGAAACTACGAGTAAACGAAGGTGGCGTTTGAGGTTACTGTTTAAAGTATAAAGTAGGAATCTGTGGGAAAATGGCACACGTGTTACGTGGCCTAAATGGAAGGAGTGACGAAGTGAGTGAACCGACCGGTACAACAAATAACCAATAATACATAATTACATTAATAAAAGTATAAAAAATTTAATAGAGGAAACTTATTTAGTTTAGTAACGGGAAAATGGATTATATATTATTGTTTATTTAATTTAATTATTTCTAATTATTATGTGACAGTTTAACTATAAAATAAATACTACTTGCTGGATCAACTTGCAATGATTGATTAATGTAATGCTTAAAGTATTAAAATGGATAAGTATATCCCTCCCAAAAGAAAAACAAGTATTAAATGGACGGATCACCAAGATTTAACTGCCTTTATTGACACTAAATAATAAACTACTCAAAAGTGAAAATTCTGTCTTAAGACAATTTTAATATACGGTTAAAAAGATGTTATCTGAAATATTATTATTTTTTTAACATTTACGGTAAAAAATTATCTAAAACATTATTTTTCACCTAAAATATTAATATTTTTAACATTTCCAGTAAAATATCTAATATTAACATTTAAAAAAAAATATTTTCGATAGCGCTTTACCGGATATATTAACAAATCTGATAAAACGTCCAATAATAATATTTTTTTATAATTTTTTATCAAAAATATTAAACAAATAATAATATTTATGATAATATATTTATATTAGACTAAAATAGACTTCCCCTCAAAAGTTGACAGAAAAAAGGATTTAAAGCTGTCAATCATTTTTATCATTTCGAATCTGTCCATTCCACACTAATCATTGTTTGCGGACCTCACTCTTAATTAGTATTAAAAATTATAATATAATTATTTATTAAAAATATAATAAATTTAATAACTATTTATAATGATTTGATAAATTTACTAATTATTTAAAAAAATTAATTATTATTTTATAAGATTATAGTAATCGTTTTAGATTATTTTAATAATTTATGAAAAATCAATGATCGAAAAATATTTGACTATAGTTTGAAGATCTATGATATATTTTACTCTTATTTTCAATAATTTTAATTAATTTAACAAAATAAATCTCTTGAGTTCTGTTCATTAGTATACATTTTATAAGTGAAATAATTGTAGCCTTGTAGGAGTATGTTTTTTTATTAAAATAATTCATTAATTATATTATAAATATATTTTTTGAATAGAAGATTATAAATATTTCAAATAGAAGAATTCGGTGAAATCGAGATGTCTAAGGTAGGACAGTCTTAATATACGGCTAATTAAATACACTACCGGAAATGCTAATATTTTTTAATATTTCCGATAAAATACTATCTAAAATATTATTTTTTTCCACCGAAAATATTAATATTATGCACTACCTAAAATGTATAATATTTTCGGTAAATCGCCACCTAAAACATTAATTTTTCTACCGAAAATGTTAATATTGGACAATAACTAAAATGTTATTTTTCTACCGGAAATTAGATGACGAAATTAACATTTCTGATAAAAAATAATGTTTTAGGTAACGCTTTACCGAAAATATTAAAAAAATATTAATATTTTTGATAATACATTTCTTTAACCGTATATTAAAGATGTAACTACACAGTGAATTCATAGAGAGTGAATCAGTTAAGTTATTAGTACACTGGCCAACCAACCAACCAACAACGAATCATCCATGGTGGACTATGAGTCTATGACAACTTCCTTTCAAAAGTGAAATCGATGTAAGGGTGCAATGCCCCAGATCTTGGGTCCAAACCAGATATCAATGGCCCAATTGCTTCCAATGTTGTTTTCTCTTCATTGGCCCCTTCGCCTCCATCTTGTCCAAAGATAAAGATGGATTGGGAGTTTGGGACTTCATAAACGACAAGATCCACCTGCATTGAGTCCGAATCACTGAGTCAGACCTCCATCGTATACTCTCTGACTTCTCATCGACCACATGCTTCTTTTTTACTCAAATCTTAATAATATTCCTCGGTTAAGTAAGGTTCAGGTCAGAAACATCCAGGCTTCCACCTCCATTGTCTTTTCTGTTTCTGTTTATATTTTAATCTCATTGAATCTTGTTTTACTCCAAATCCATGGCTTTTTCCAGCCTGTCTATTCACCATCATCTCCTTCCTGGATGGAAGAAGAAGATACCTCTCTCTTTCTTCATTCACTTCCCCTTTGGCTTTCATATATTTATATCTTCTTTCACTTTCACACTACTTCACTCTTCAGTATTCCAGCTATGGCTTCTTCAACCATTGTCCGTCCTAAACAAGGAAAGCATTTGCTAAAAGATTTCCTCCTCCATGATTATCATTCAAGTGAGTTCAATTCATTTCCCAGGAAAGCCTCGAAAACAATCTCAGCTTTCCGGGCAATGATATACATTGTCAAAAACATCCATTTCATTACTGCAATTAAATCTCCTTTGATTCTGCCTAGAAACCTTTCACGTAAACTATCTAAAAGGAATTCACAGGTCGAGGGTGAAACCAAAATGACGACGGTGAGAGTTAAAGATATCTTGCGTTGGAAATCATTCCGTGATTCGGTTGACCAAGAATCCCAACCGTCGGGTTTTGCTTCTTCTTCCCCTGATCATCACTCCACGACGACGCCATCCACTTCTACTGCTTGTAGAAGCAATGGCTCAAGCTGGTGCGACAGTGATTTTTCCTCGGAATATGAAGTTGATGCCAAGGATCATATGGAGACGAAAGCAGAGGTAGCAGCGGCCAATGCAGCGAATGGACACAAAGTAAGCAAATAATTATTCAGTCAGTGCTTCGTATCTGTTAAGGAAATCGTGTGTGTGTCTTCGCCTGCTGAAGAGAGGGTCCTATATGCTTTAATTACGTTAGCAACAACTTAATATGTCGTCGTTTAGTGAAACTTATAGTTGACTTTGGCTATATGCATGTATATGTCGACAACTTGAATTTGTTTAATGGTTTGGATTTGTCTGTTTTGAAGACACAGTATAACTATGCAAGTGAAGAGAATGAACAACACAGCCCACTTTCAGTGCTGGATTATGGACAGGAAGAAGATGATGAAGAAGAAGACTCATTCTCATCTTTCAATCAAAGTCATGCCATTACGCAGAGTATGTCCGTCTCTTGTGCTTATGTCCCAGTGGAAGAATAATCCTTAAACAAGCATTAAATTAACTAATTAAATTGCCATTGAACTGTTAGCAGGAATAAAACACAAGCATTTCCAGAGTGTAGAAAAACTGGAAGAAGATGAAGAAAGGGCGCTGCAACTGTTGAATCATGTCAAAGAAACAAGTTCATTAACGAGTTGTGACAATATCGGTTCCGACAAACTGGTTTCTGATCTATTCAGAGAAGAACTAAATGAAACAAGAGACACAGAGGTTGAAAATGAAATGGTTACGGTAACAAAAGCATGGATCAACGGGGATCAGAGCGAGACAGCAAAATGGGGATATGGGGACAAAAGAGGGGCTTATGCTAGAGAAATGGACAGGGAAGGAAGGTGGAGCAAGTTTGTTGAAGAACGACAAGAGTTGGCCTGGGAAATCGAGTGTGGGTTAATGAATATTTTGGTGGATGAATTCTTAGTTGATCTCCTATAATTTTATGACGATAAAAAGTCCATCAAAATTGTTTAATTATTTTGGTGGATGAATATTTGAACTAATGAACATTTGCGCACGCCAGTTGTCACTGGTGTCAGCCGCAAGAAAGGTCGTACTTTATTACCGTCGTGCTTGATATTCACCAAGCCATTGACACAACAGCACGGGACCGGGTTCTGCTTATAGCCATGGGGGATCACTTTCAAGCTCTTGCCGATAGCAGCACACCGGTTTACAAAAGGGTCACGAGTTCTGCTACAAGTGATGGATCTGTAGTTGACAATAAAACTACTTCTGATGAATTGTTTGCAAGTTAAAAATGTTTTTATTTTCACTGTTGAATTACCCTATCGAAACCAATGAAGAAACAACAAATGTAGTAGCCAATTTATTTGGAAAACACGACCAAAACTGGAGGAAAAAAAGAAGCTAAATAATTAAAGGAGAACATTGCTTAACCAACAATGAATCAATAACATGGAGAAATCCCTCAATATGTTCAGTGAAGGTAATGAAGACATTCCTTCTCTTTTAAACTTTTACTCGGTATGAGCTTTAGCTCATGACATTATTTAATAAATTACATCTAATTCTTGTTTTAACCCTTCTACTTTGTTAAAATTTGATATTTAAGGTGTATTTGGAAAGTCGTTAATCAATTAGATTTTGATATTATTACTTGTAATTGTAATTGTAATTGTAATTGTAATTGTAATTGTAATTGTAATTGTAATTGTAATTGTAATTGTAATTGTAATTGTAATTGTAATTGTAATTGTAATTGTAATTGTAATTGTAATTGTAATTGTAATTGTAATTGTAATTGTAATTGTAATTGTAATTGTAATTGTAATTGTAATTGTAATTGTAATTGTAATTGTAATTGTAATTGTAATTGTAATTGTAATTGTAATTGTAATTGTAATTGTAATTGTAATTGTAATTGTAATTGTAATTGTAATTGTAATTGTAATTGTAATTGTAATTGTAATTGTAATTGTAATTGTAATTGTAATTGTAATTGTAATTGTAATTGTAATTGTAATTGTAATTGTAATTGTAATTGTAATTGTAATTGTAATTGTAATTGTAATTGTAATTGTAATTGTAATTGTAATTGTAATTGTAATTGTAATTGTAATTGTAATTGTAATTGTAATTGTAATTGTAATTGTAATTGTAATTGTAATTGTAATTGTAATTGTAATTGTAATTGTAATTGTAATTGTAATTGTAATTGTAATTGTAATTGTAATTGTAATTGTAATTGTAATTGTAATTGTAATTGTAATTGTAATTGTAATTGTAATTGTAATTGTAATTGTAATTGTAATTGTAATTGTAATTGTAATTGTAATTGTAATTGTAATTGTAATTGTAATTGTAATTGTAATTGTAATTGTAATTGTAATTGTAATTGTAATTGTAATTGTAATTGTAATTGTAATTGTAATTGTAATTGTAATTGTAATTGTAATTGTAATTGTAATTGTAATTGTAATTGTAATTGTAATTGTAATTGTAATTGTAATTGTAATTGTAATTGTAATTATAAAGATGTGACAAGTGATTGAATTTAAGGTAAAAATTGGGACTAAAACCACAATTAACCCATTAGATTTAAAATTTCATGTATTCAACCAGCCTTCGAATAATTTTTTGGATTATTAAAAAATTCATAATATAGTTGGAAAAAAGAAAGGAAAATAAATGATTTGAAAGCCAAGCAAGCAATTTGGAACTGACGACGTGCTGAAGTGAAATGAACATCTTCTCTCTCCCCCTCGCAATCCTTCTTCCACCTCTTAAATTTCCTTCACAGATCTGATAATTCCGTTCACCAACGACGCCGTTTCACTCCCGATATCCGGTAACTCTTTCTGTTTCCCTTCTTCTCATTCCGGATCTGACATTTCAGCTTGATTCTAATTCTATCACTGGTTTCGTGTTAATTGTAAATTCGTCATTTTTTAATAGTATTGTTCATGGTGGGGAAAGTTAAGCTCGAATTTACCGTTCCAGGAGATAAATAAATTCATCATGTTTGAAAGTCCTCAACTTAGGAAACCTGGCGGAAAATCTGTTTCTACTGACATTGGTAAGTTAAAATTTAACTTCTTCTTCTTCTTCTTCTTTTGCATTTATTTTCTTTTATTTGTTGAACCTTTGATTTAAATTTTAAACTTGTCTACCAAAATTAATATATCTTTTTAGGGGCTGCTGAACTTGGAAATAGCGTTCAAGAAAATATTTTGCTTCCGGTTGGTGCTGGGTGACATGAAAGTTACTAATTCAATTATGCACACCACAGCAGCGATAATGCCTTCTCCCCTTTTTCTATGGAGACTTCAGGTTTGTTTGTTCCCCCCCTTTTTTTTTTGAAAATTGAATCAGAATTTTAATTTACTTGTTTTTTGAAATCAAGTTTTGATGAACTTCTAAAGCATTGGTTTTTCAGGTCTTGTTTTTTTTGGCATGGGGCTTCACTTGTTGCAAGGTTAGTACTTAGTATTATACAATTAGATGCAATGCCTTTGTTGTAAGTGAGGATTTGTCTTGTAAATTCTTGATTGTTATGTTAAAGAAGTTCCTTTTATTGAAATAGATTGGATGGGATTCAGTCATGAGAATGAATGCAGACCTGCGAGACTTGTTCTTGTACGAGGCGTTCTTATATTATAATCCTCTCCTTCTTTTGGTTAGTTAACAATTTTTGGAGTTTTACTAAAGATTGTTATTTGATTTAGATGTTTCTATAATCTTACTTCTTGATCTTGCAATTGTAGACAATGATGGTTTGGTTGTGGGGAGTGTGCTTATGGGTCTTCTCAGAGAGTACTGTTAATTATGCTAGAATATTTGATCTTGATCAAAACCACCTTACTCACAGGGAAATATGGAAGGTAACTATTCTAAAGCAATTCGTTTGTTTGAAATCCTTACCTTCTGTATACTTAATTGAGAATTTGTTTCTTAGATTGTGGTGCAAATATGACCAGTAAAATGTGCTCCTTTTGTAATTTCTGTTTCTGTTTCTATTTTGATATGTGCAGTGTAGCATATGGACGACAATTATAGTACCAACTAGCATGACAGCATACCTTTATCTTTACTCCCATGGAGAAGTAGCATTGGCTGCATCACAACCAGTGTAATATCTGCCCTTTTCACGGCATTATGTTCTTTCTGTGTCTCTCAATTTGAACTGCATATATGCAACACACTAGCCTTTTGTATTAGTTTTAACTTTCAACCATTGCAGTTATTGGTTATGGCCTTACTACTTAATTATTTGATTGTTAATTTCTCACTACCTATCATATGCAAATAATGATTTTGTGCATATATGTATGAATATATATACAGATGTGATTGCTAGTCATCTCTTGTACATACGTAGAATGCATTTTCTAGGCTTGCCAGGATATCATCTAACCATGGGTTATTTGATATTTATCGATGGCTCTGACCTTTTTTATACAAATTGCAGGTAATCCTATATATTGCTTTTGCTTTGGTTCTTGTATTCCCCTTTGATATTTTTTATTTGCCTTCTCGTTACTTCTTTTTGAGAACACTCTGGCGGATAGCTTTCCCACTTCAGGCAAGTCTCCAGTGTGCTTTATTTCCTTTGTACTTGAGTTAGCAAGCTGCATTTTCTGATTATCTTTTCTTCATTTTGGATGTATTTTCTCTTAACTCTCTTTGATTTTTTTCCGTTTAAGTAGCATTTACTCGGAGGTTCTCTATTATTGACAAGCATTCACATCTTTTATTTGTTTAATTTTTGCATGACAGCCCATTTCATTTCCCGACTTCTTCTTGGCTGACATTCTAACATCCATGGCCAAGGTATGAGCCTATAACACAACTTATTTCATTTCTGTTAATTATTAGATTGTACCATTTAGCAGAAAAATCCCGTGAAACTTTTCTATATCGTACTTTACTATTGTGGAAAATGTTTCTGTTTCCTGGTGTTTAGATACAAATTTCACATGCCACATTAACTGTTTTCTTGATTTCTCATCCTTACTTATCCTGCTGGCCCTATTTGAGGTTATGTTATTAGAATTTGGTTCCATAAGTGGAGCCGGATTTATTACCTAATTGTTTCTAATGTTTTACCATGTCAAGGTATTTTCAGATTTGGAGCGTTCAGTCTGTAGAATGGTTCATTCCCAGGTAATTCAATTAGAACTATCTCAACTGATGGCTTAATATTGTGTAAGTAATGCCTCAGAATAATGCTATTGAATTGCTTGGATGACACGAACCAAGTGACCTCGGTGATAGAAGAATTATTGTTATTCTTTGAGGTCCCGGGTTTGAGCACCGTGAATGCTAGAGGTGTGAGCGTTCACTGTTAAATGGTTGAGAGTTATTTTTGAACAGATACTGTCTTATGAAGTACTAAATATGTTTATGCTTAGATATGGAGTTGTCCGATTCATACCATAACTTTGAACTGGGAAAGCTTTTTTTATTGACACAAAGTCGATCTTCTTAGATGAATAAATGTGGTTTGGCTTGTCTGTAGGTTGCAACAATTGCATGGTTTGAAGCTGACTCAGTTTGTGGTAGTCACTCGGTAGCAATTCCAGTAGTGCTCGTTATTCCTTATATTTGGCGGCTAATGCAATGTCTGCGGCAGTACAAGGACACAAAAGAAAAGATGACCCTTTTAAATGGTAATGCGTTTGAGTCCCTTCTCTCATTCATATACATGTAAGTCAGCCATGGATATTGAACTGCAAACTGGTAATCTGTATCATGTTCGCACACCCTTGTGCTTTTCAGTGCTTTGGTTTGCTTGCTCACACTTGGTTTGTCCCATATGAGCTACCTACTGATTATTCTTCTATCTATTTTCCTTAACAGCTGTGTTTATTTTAACATTATTTTCATGTGGTTTTCAGCTTTAAAATATTCGACCGCAGTCCCTGTGATTTTTCTTTCAGCCCTTAAATATCACGTCTTACCTGATAGGTGGACATATGTTTATCGTCGTCTCTGGCTTTTCTCAAGTTTTGTCAACTCACTCTACTCCTTTTACTGGGACGTAACTCGTGATTGGGACCTTAGGTATGATGACATATCCTTTTCCTGACAGTGACATATATAGCTTTTGTTTGTGAGAGCACTCTGGCATTTCTTGCTTTGCACTATGCGCTTCAACTCAATTTACTTTATTCGAACCCTAAAATGCTACAAATGCTCTATTGATTGATTTAGATCATGCATGCATATTGATGTTCTCTTCCCTTTATTTTCTCAGTGTCTTCACTAGGATTTTCAAGTTCAACAAACCAAATTGTTGTTCCAATCTGTTATATGGGCGACAATGGGTAAGGGTCTTAGGTTCTCTTAATTATCCATGCTATTTCCTTACGCAAGATGCTTACACCACATCAACACTTAGCTTGCATACGTAATTGCCTCTTCGTTCACTTTGTAGGTTTATTTTTGGGTTCTTGGAAGCAACTTGGTCTTGCGGTGCACATGGACGTACAAACTGTCTGCTCATCTTCGCCACAACTACTTAACAGTTTTTACCGTTACAACCTTAGAGATGCTCAGAAGGTTCCAATGGATATTCTTTCGAGTAGAAAACGAGTGGAACAAAATTACCAAGTCTAGCAGTCAGATTCCCATGGCTGACATCCCAAGGGAGGATGAGAAGTTATTAGACTCGACTAATCACAGCTTGTAGAACACACAAGTCTCTGGCCATATGTAGAGCATCAAATTGAATTCATTCTTTACTCTGATACTTCACATATTGTTTCAATCCTAAAACAGTTGCTACATTTTGGTTGCCCCTTTTGACATTGGATAATGATATAGATTTGTTTTCCGTGCCTTACAGTTCTTCGTGAATCGATTCGATTTATAAATGCAGCTTAGATGTATAATGTGACAAAACATAACTCTATTCGTACCGGAGATTTAGAAGTTAGTTTAGATTTAAACTTGTTTCCATTGTTGTCGTTTCTGCTGGTTTAGTTTAGATTTAAACTTGCTTCCATTGCTGTCGTTTCTGCTGGTGTTTTTAAGTTTTTGATCTGATGATGTTCGGTTGCGAAAATCACAATCATAATGTAACCCATACATCTCAAGAAAGCAATATACTTTCAGTTTTTGACGATTCGTATCGAATAACCGAGATATCTCTCGAACTGTCATCATTAAATGCATAGTTGAACGATGAACATAGAGGATACACGAATATTCATGCATATTCTTCACTTGTGGACGACACAATTCCAGTTTAAAAAAAACGCAACAATGACGGTTTCGACAAGGAAAAAATAATGAGAAAACAACTTGATTAGACTCGCCAACCCAATCTTTTTTTCCCTGTAAGATCTTCATGAAGAAGCATAATTGACTTAATCAGCGGCCCATGAGATTATTTTCTTTAAAATTTATAGCTACCAATTATGATTTTGATGAAAATCCAAATACTGATATCGAAATGATTGACAAAGAAACTGTGTAGTATGACCCTTAGGTGAACTGTCGAAATGTTTGAGAAGACTGATATCGAATTTTTCTCAACGCTTAATCCCAAGTTCATCACTGTCATCACAGCCATGTAGGGAGGGTATCTCATCTTTCATAGAGTTTTGGCTTTTACTCTTTTTTTTAATGGCCTGAATATCCTGCCTGGTAAGCCGACAAAAAGATAATTTCATGTTGGACACTAGGAAGACTCATACATACAAATAAATTAATAGTTTTATCTTTCAGCAGATGCTGAATTAGTCATGTCACTGGAAGTAAGTAGATTAATATATAATTAAGTACTAGTCCAGTCATAAAACAAAGTGGAGAAGAGGCTGGACGTGGTCGCTTGGGGTTGGTTCCCTTTCAGACAGGTCATTTTTTGGAGTAAGTAAATACTTCATTTATATTCAACTTTGAATTAGATAGATGCTATTATAGTTTTATTTGATGTCTTTAACACCTTCAACTTGCAGTTTTACTTTTGAGCATAGAGATGTGAACATGGGAACTGAGTTTGTTTCTTCCATTTGAAGATTCATCATAATATCAAAAATTATAAAAAAAAAATATTATTACAATAACAATGAGTAAATAAAGGTGATCATATAATGCATACATTTTAAAAATTATAAACGAAAAATTACAAACGAAAGAAGAGAAATTCATCATAATATCAAAATTACAATATGTTTGGGATGAATTTTAAGTCTTAGTTAATAACTGTAACATACTTATAAGATTAATTAGTTGATGAGAAAGAATCCTTATATTATAAATATTTTTTTTAAATAAATTTATAATTTTAATAAAATAATAATAAAATAAGTATAATCAATACCCACCATTAATCTATATTTTTTCTCATAATTTTATTTATTCTCTAAAAATATCGTATTTTAAACTTTTAAATAAAATTTAAATTGCAACCTTTTAAAAATATATTTATAGAGAATATTAAAGAGAGAAAAAAGAGTGACCCTGCATATTGCATGAAAACGGATAAAAATAAAAATAAAATATTCAACAGCAACGAACCACATAGAAGGGTATGATTTTCATGTGATTCCCCACTATCCAGCAGATAAAGACATGAACGCTGATCTTGTCCTCGCAAATTGAGAATGTATATGTACATGATAACAACTCCTATTTATTTACTATATTGATGGCAGTGTTTTAATTTTGTTTGTAAAATAAAAAAATTTACTTAATATACATTTTTAAAAAATAATTTGTATATATTATTTTGTAGGAATATTTTTTTTATAATTATTAATATATAATTTATTAATTTAAATTTTATATTAAAGATATAATGGAAGAGTTAAATTTACTCACCCATCTAACCCTAGATCCAATTCCTGTCGTATGTATTATAAACTTATTTAGAGTTACCAAAGTATTCACATATGGTTTATTAAAATATATGTTTGTGGTCGTCCCTGTCATCTTTACATGGTAAGGTCGGTACAGCAATACTTTAAACATCGTAGCAAGGAATATGCTGCTAATATCTACCTTTCGGGATTTAACTTTTTTTTTACTTTCCGACAAACAAAACCCAGCACGCAACAGTTGTTGATGTTAAAGTAAAAGATACTCCACAGATTTCCAGTCCCAATTCATGTCAGTCAAAAGAAAACAAGACAGGTGGTTTAATGGTTACCTTTCAATATTCTAAGGAGCCATGCAGTTAGCCAACGACACGTGTTTCGTCTAATGAGTAGCTAAAAGCCTTCTCCTTCGTCCCACTCTTTCTATTTTGTGAGGCTGTGTTTGCAGTTCCCGTCCTCTGCACTATATATTCTTTACACCAGTGGAGATTTCACTACCATCTTGATTCCTTCAATGTAAATCTTTTATATTTGCTTCTGCTGCAGTTTCGATTAACTTTTCAATCTGCTGCATTCTTCAATCTTTCTGCTCAGTCAAAGATACTGTATGTAAGTTGATTCTTTACCCACTTTTCAACATATTGTGTACGTGCATATGTTGATTGATTACTTATTGTTTGCTATATGATTAGTGTAACGTGTGTTAAATAATGGGTTTGTTTGTTTGTCATAGTTAAGCATGACTTAAAAACTTCATTTCGGCTGCTAATTATGATTAAAGCTTGCTGTTAATGACACATGGGGCGTGCAGAGTCGCAGATAATGACCTTCTGCTCTTACATTTACATGTTACAACATGCTATGTGTTTATGAACTTTAACTATTTTAATATATTTTAAGACATCTCATATACTATCAAACTTGCTTATGAAAGTGAGCATTTTCTAATAATTCTATAAATTTAATGATTATTTTGTAATTGTTAAAAGTTTAATGACCAAAATATTATTTAATCATAGTTAAAGGACTTATATACTTAAGTTTAAATGTCCAAAATGTCTGAAACCCTGTAGTTGCGGTGCGTCAAACACGTGCATCTAAATGTCAGGGTCATATAGTATTATCAACATGGTAACTTGTTTTTCCGAACCAAATACAAACCACGTTGTAAGTTTGGCGCGGTTTCCTCAAGCTCTTCATCTCCTAGACTAGATTGTTCCTTTTCGATAAAAGAAACTTTGTTTTCTAGATTTTGATCATTAATTTCTGTTTCAATTCCCCCAAACGCAGTTTGCCCCTTTCTTTCGGTTATAATATTATATTCTGATTCTCATCCAATGACCTTGTAAAGGTGTTCCCTTTAGTTTCTTGTTATTCCAAGGAATCTATCTCCTTCCCCCCCCCCACTAATTTCCTTTCCCAGTACTTGAAATTCTTTGCTTAATATGTCTACTGTAGTATGCTCAACTCATATGACCAACGAGTTCGAATAAAAGATTGTTTCTTTTTCGTATTTCTACGATCCTTAACCCATTTTATGTTTCTGGGTTTCCGTTTAAAGGTCCAATGGTTCCCCACCCTTCTTTTCTTCGTTCGGTGCATTTTTCTGGAGTTTTAAGATTCCAAATTCACCGATACATAAAGAAAGTATCTTTGAGTGTGAATTTGTATAATTGTTTCTTTCCATCATCTGGTTTTAAGATTTTTTAAGTTTCATTGCTCCAAGAGATATAGATCGTTGTTTTACATTCGTATTGTATTTTGGTTATTTTTGTTCACAGGAGTGAACTGGAGTTTTGACTGAAAGATGGTGGCCTTTGGGAAGAAGTTGAAAGAGTCACAGATTCAAGAATGGCAAGGGTATGCATGTATATACATATGTACACTCTGATTGATGGTTGATTTACATTGTAATATCTTCAGGTATTATATCAACTACAAGTTATTGAAGAAGAAAGTCAACCGATATGCTCAACAACTGGAGGTTGGAGACCAAGATCACCATTATGTTCTCAAGGACTTCTCAAGAATGCTTGATAGTCAAGTAAGCTTAAACAAATTTGATGAATTTCATCTACAACAAGAAGTAATGCAAAGACAAGACTGTTTACTGCTTTCTTTCTTTGCTTGGTGGGGGGTCAATTTTTAGATTGAAAAGATTGTATTGTTTCTGCTGGAACAACAAGGAGAACTGGCGAACAGATTGTCTGATCTTAGGGAACAGCATGATGAAATTTTGCAGCGGTCCGATGGATCCAAAATATTCGAGTTACGAGAAGCATATAGAGGAGTAGGATATGATCTTTTAAAGCTTCTCTTCTTTGTTGAGATGAATGCAACTGGCTTGAGAAAGATTTTGAAGAAATTTGATAAGCGCTTTGGTTATAGATTCACCAACTACTATGTCAAAACCCGTGCGGATCATCCTTATTCTCAGCTTCGACAAGTTTTAGGCATGTGGTAATGCATCCGATTTCAGAATCGATTTTCTCTTCTCTTTTATTATGTTTTCAATCTATTTTACAGAAATTTCTTAGTTGTAGTTTCTTTTTTTTTTCCTTTGATACATGACATGCAGATAAATTATAGCAGCATGAACCAGTTTTATCAGCTACTGGTTGACCATTCATGCAGGGTATTGGGGCTGTGGTTGGAGCCATATCTCGCAATCTCGCGGACCTGCAAGACCATCAAGGGAACTACGTATCGATATATGATCAGCCTGCTTTATCCCATCCGGTTTTTTCTTCAATCCTTTCACTTTTTAGGCAGTGTCCAATACTCTGCTTTTTGTCTTAGTCAAATTTATAATCAAACGTGAAACTTGCAGGACCCTGTGATCCATTCTATAAAAGCAGCAGTAAACAGGTTATCAAATTCAACAAGTTTTCTCGAGTTTTTGGGGAAGCATGCATTTATTATGCAAAATGATCTACCAAGTCCATCTGAAGATGATGCTGCGGAGCAGAGATATCATTTCATGTCGCTGCTCTTGAATTTGGTTAACACATTTCTATATATGGTTAACACATATATTATTGTCCCAACAGCAGACGACTACTCCCT